AACTATTTGTATTCAACCAATTACACTACTAGCCAAGTTCATTTCTATGTTTAAAAATGAGCAAGTTGGCCTTCAAAATTTTTATTATAATTGCATAATCGTCCAAATTTCTATTTATTCATCATGTGATCCATGTATGTCCAAATTTATGGAATTAGGTTTTACCTCTTGACTTGAAGTTTCATCCAAAAACTTAAAGTGATAAATATATATTTTTTTTATGAGAATTAGGTGACAATTTAATTTTCTTCGTTAAAAATTCGAATAATGATTGAAGATTGAGAAAAGGGTAAAATCTACAAGACTATGTCAACAAGACTTTGAGGCGGGGTGGTTGAGTCAACATAAAGCGTGAAAAGCTTGCCATAGATGCGTCTACCATATGTCATCATAAGCTTCTATCTTTGACTTTTTGTGTATATGATTTCAGATTGAGAGTTGACTAATTCTGCAATTGGAAAATCGGAGGCATTTTAAGCAGCTTATTTTTGGATTAATTATAGGATGATTCTTCAAATTATTTTGTCAACTATTTCAAGCCATTTTACATCTGGCTTGTGAGTTCCTAATCTTTTCTTTCATTTTCAGTATGATATCATTTTCTTTCTATTAAATTCAGATTTATCTCATCGCCTTGTCAATTAGGTCATTACAACCTGGAATTGATCCAATCGGCCCTTTATCTTACTTAAACAGCATAATATTATTAATTAGCTGATCTTAATGAACATTTTTCAGAGAAGTAAAAAACTACAAGATTACAATTAATAATAGTTGGTAAATTTAATCAGTTTAGAACATATTGATAACAAACTAATTACTGTAATAAAAGTGAGTATTACTTCGATTCATCTCCACATTTTAACAGTACGTAGGATTTGAATGATCGATCTTTCTTATACATATCTTAAGACTCATTGCAAGAGTTCGGCTATATCGAGTCATTGACTTTCACATTACATACATCGCACATTTTTCCTACATATTCGAAGTTCTTTATTATTTAGTTATCATGTTATTGTACGATTTCATCTCAACTTGTGAGATTGTTATAGGTTATCCTTTTTGAATCTTTTCTAGTCTTCCTCAATATACATATATTTTGGAGATATCCGTTAAAGACTCTTTTGATATCATACAAACACGGCAATAAATGATAAATAGGAAAGAACACATCTAATGCCAATGAAAATAAAAACTGTAATCCACCATAACAAAGTAAAGATTGGAATCCACTAGGAAATCAAATCATATTAATACCCAAACATCTACTTATAACAAAAAATTCAACAAACAAAAAAATTGCGAACAAGTTCTAATTCTAGGAAAAGTCAAATGATATCAAATGGTAATTAGCACAAAACATTTCAATGTTTAAAGTTTATTGTGCAAAACATCCTCATTGATAAGTGCATTTTATCCACTTATTAAAGCCACATTACTAAGCTTTTCTTTCTTTCTTTTTTTTTGTCAAAGTATTGAATTCTACTTAACTTGGATTAATTTTCTATCATTTCAGTATTGGACCCATTTTAAGCAATTGAAAAAGAAAGAATGATCAACTAGCTATTGAATGGAAGGTTTGAGACTAAATTGCATTAATTGGGAAAAGTGAAGTTTTGAAGAGAAATATTATATTAAGTGGGCTTCGACCAAATTATCAATGGAAAAAAATTAAATTGGACTTTGGACAAATGGAATGAGAAATCAAACCTATCAAAATTGGACTCCTTTTTCCACAAAACCAATTAGTGGCTCAATTGGAATGAAGAAAAAACCACTTGGACTCTTTTTTTCCTCTAGAACATTGGCAGCGGAGATTTGGAATAAAACGAGACACACATAATTATGCAAAAACATCTAGGGGGTGACAATTGAGTCGAGCGGCTCGAACTCGTATTTGGACAAGCCCGAACACGAACCGAGAGGATCTGCTTGCTAGGCGAGTTGAACACGAACTCGTATTTGGACGAGTCCGAGCACGAGCCGAGTGAGTCTGCTCGCTAGGCGAGCCGACCCACTTGGCTCGCCCACGGCTAAAACGAGCCGAGCTTGTGGACTCGTAAAAAAGGAACAAAAAATTCAAAAAAATTAAAAATAAAAGAAAATTATTTGAGCTTGTGGGCTCGGCTTGTGGCTCACAAGCTTGAGAGCTCGCCAAGCTCGTGGGTAGATGAGCCGAGCTTCTCAACTTGATTCGATCCATTGACACCCCTAAAAACATCCACACGCATAAAGAGGGCTTTAAAACACAAGGCAAGAAAATTGGACACGGCAAGGCTGAAGGGAGACAGAAAACGGCATGCACGAGGCGAACAGATACGGCAGCAGCAAGAGAAGAATTAATTCCAATTCTTTGTGTAATAATTCATCAAAAATTGTGGAAAGAATTTGGAAATTTCCACAATTTGGAAATTATTCACGTTCCGTCAAGTTTTTGGTGATGTCTTTTCACTTTTATTTGTTTAATTTTGATATTATGAGTAGCTAAACAATTTTAGTACTGGGATTACGATGAAACTTATATCATGATCCTTTAACTTTTGAATCTTATTTTTTTTTATACTAAAGTATGTTTTTAGTTTGAAAACAATCATAATGAGATTTACTTCCTCTACAATTACTTAATCAGCAATTGTATGAATCTTATTATTTATTTTACTTTCGAAAGATTGAAAATAAATTAGACATAGTTATAATTATCGTAAGATCCGATAAAGGATAAAAATATACCGCCATGATTTACGTAATCTTTAAGTATTCATAAATCATTAATACATTCTTATATGTTCGCATCCGTCATAAAAATATAGTCCGACCACGTATGAAAATATGTTTAATTCTACTAAAAAATTTAGGGATATTGATATTCAAAATTGAATCATATTGTCAAATTGAAAGGTTCGGGATTAGAAGGGATTGATATAAGGAAATCCAGAATCCTAATACGCTTTTCATCATTATATTTTTATAAAACTCGCATTTATTTATAACCTTTTATTGATTTTAATTAATTTAGGTCCTACATTCATATGTAATTTAAATGGTTACAATTTAGTTATAAAAAAATCATAAATTTTCATTATTTCAATTAAGGCTAAATTCATTCAAACTTGAACTAATACAATCTTCGTGGATACAATATTTAATCTCAAAAATTAATTTTACTACTTGTTAACAAACTGTGAAATTGCGGTGTTTTAAATCGAAAAGATTTAGCAACACTCACCTTGCCTTTTTTTTTTTTTTTTATCCTACTTATACATTTCACTGCGAAAATCATTGTTTTCATCCATTTTCTTAATAAAAAGTTGTGAAATGATGAATATACCTACATTTGAATAAAACAAAAAGAAAAGAAATAAAGAATTAATGGCAACCATGGTTCCAAATTTTTCAAAATATTACAAATGAGTACTAAATAAATAATTAAAATTCAAAACAAAACAAAACAAAAAAGACAAAAAAATTAATTCCTCTTCTCCCCCCACTCCAACCTAACCGACCCCAAAGAAATTGTAAATGGTAAGCACCCGTTTGGCCCTCATTTTTCCTAATTAAAGGAGTAGTATTTTATTATTATTATATTTTTTATTAAAATGAATGATTGAAAAAGAAGGAAAAGATTTCGATTTACTTATAATATTATTTTATCGAAAATTGTGTAATTGAAATGTGAGAGGGAAAATTGAAATTCAATTTAATGGGGGCCAAATGAGGGATAAAATACAACCCTTTTTTTTCCGTTCAGTATCTTACATTAAGTGCTTGTTTGGTGACGATTTTAAGCCAATTAAATTTTTATCTATTCAAACTGTGATTTTTGAATTCTTATCTCATAGGTAAAACACACTTTATCTCTAATGGTCAAAAAATCAATTCTCAAAATCCCTACCAAACAAGCTCTTAAAAACAAATTATCCTAACAAATGTTTATCTCCGTAGAGTTGAAACCCGAGTTCATTTGCAAGAGCTGACCATGAAGTTTTGAAAGGAATTTTGGGAGAAAACACAAAATGACCTTTAAGGATTGGACACGAAAAGCAACGAGAATCGCAAATTCAATCCTGCGATAACTACAAACAAAATGCTCAGAGAAATTCTCCTAAACTTATTCTTGAATTCCGATGACTCAGATTGTGATAGAGGGTTACTGTCACTGGAGTTATTCTTGTAGATTCATTCTAAGCATTGCACAGA